ATACTGCAAAGCACAAGCGCAGAAGTGGCGATCAAAGAAGGAAGGGCAGACGGATTCTTTCCATTACAAGGAGCTCTGTGTGCCAGTTTATGCTGTGCGGTGTTGTCCCTGGTGAACAAGCTGCTGTGGGTAGAGAATACCTTTTGTCACCTGTGACCGTCTATAGCTTACCCTTGCGGAGCAATGATGGCTTCTGAAGGGATAGCGAATTGTCAGCTTACCATAACAATGCTATTGGGAGAGTACCTAGAATGGGCAGGAGAATGATCTAGAACATAAAAGACTGTTTTTGTTCTGGGATTCCATGTGCTGTAAATTTTTACTAACATGTAAGTGTAAACCTTTGTCTAACATGTTAACTGTTAGACCTGTTGCCAGTCATGGCTCAGTTCCTTGTACGTTTTTATTTTCATATGGCTGAGAACAGATATTTCTCTTCAAAAAAATCTAGCTTACAGAATTTTTTTCCAGACTTTAGCTACCTATACTTGTATTTTTCCCAGATAAAGTAGCTAATCCATTATTGATCACAGTGTGAATAAAACTATTCTAAGCCATTATATAGATTAGTAATACTTAGTATCAAGATTCTCAGATTCTCTTGAGGCCAAGTAAAATATCCCTTTCTTTCCTGCTCCTTTGACCTCCAGCAAGTGAGAAATAGGAAATCATGTTGACTTTTTCTAAATAATGGCATTATTGAGATATAATTCACATTTCATAATATTTACCCTCTTAACTCAAGGTCGTTTATTTTTAGTATATTTACAGAGTTGTGCAATCATCACCACTGATCTCAGAACATTTTTATCATCCCCCCCCAATAACCCCATAACCCGTAGCAATCACTCCTCACCTTTTCTCCCCCCAGCCCTGGCAAACACTAATCTACTTCATCTCTATGGATTTGCCCATTTTGGACTTTCATATAAATGGAATTATACACTATGTGCCCTTCTATGTCTGGCTTCTTTCTCTTAGTATAATGTTTTCAGGGTTCATCCATGAGGAAGCATGTATCGGGGCTTCGTTCCTTTTTATGGCCAAGTAATATTCCCTTGTATGGATATACCACACTTATTCATCAGTTGATGGACATTTAGATTCTTTCGAATTTGGGGGTATTATGCTGCTTGAACATTCATGTACATTTTTTTGTGTGTGAATGTATGTTTTTCATTCTCTTGGATGTATACTAGGAGTGGAATTGCTGGGTCTTATTAAGCTCACTAGAGACCTGGTGCACGAATTTGTGCATGGGTGGGGTCTGATCTGGCCGGCCCGCCCCAATCGGGGCGATTGGGTGGGACTGGTTGGGGGAAGGGGGGGCTGCGGGCAGTTGGCCGGCCAGTCCCACCCCCTGGTTGAACTCCCAGTCGAGGAGACATTTTGCATATTAGCCTTTTATTATATAGCAGTGGTTCTCAACCTGTGGGTCGCGACCCCTTTGGCGATTGAACGACCCTTTCACAGGGGTTGCCTAAGACCATCCTGCATATCAGATATTTACATTACGATTCATAACAGTAGCAACATTACAGTTATGAAGTAGCCACGAAAATAATTTTATGGTTGGGTCACAACATGAGGAACTGTATTTAAAGGGCCAGAAGGTTGAGAACCACTGTTATATAGGATATAACCATTTTGAAGATGATGAACATTGTAGGATAGGATAGTCAAAGCTAAAATGAGTACAGAATCTATAGGTAAACAGGTCATCAGCATCTAATGGTTTAATTATGCAACAACCTAACAAGTGACTTAACCACTGTGTTATTGTGAAGATACAGTGAATGCAATGGTTATTAGCTAACAATAATAAGTAACAACAATAAATGCTAGCTAATGGGATGATATGGGGAGAAAGGGTAGATATATTTGGTTCATTTGCTTTTCCTGTTTTCCATGAACCATGGCAGGTAAAAAACATGGTTGAAATAATTGTTCCTTAACTTAGAGTAATGCAATGAAACCCCACTCCTTAAAATCCCTATATAGCTGTTATAGCTGTGCTTTTAAAATAAGGTCTGGGAGAGAGATCCAGTGTAGTACTAGATTACATAGTTTTTCAGGCAAGTCCCTTAACATTTCTTTTTATTCTGCCTATGAAATGGATATAAATGTACACAGGCTGACTTCATCAGTTTTGTGATAGTTAAGTCAATGTTTTTAAAATAATCATTGCATGAAAAATACTTTAAGAACACAAAGTATGAAAACATGTATTTGAAATAGTTTCAAACTTAGACCATCAGTAAAACACTCTGGGAGTTTGATCAGTTTTGTTTAAATACCCTTTCTGGAAAAAAAATTCAAATGAAGCTTCATAGCGCCTTCTCCCTCATGTGAAAAGTCACTTTTTATGATCTTGTTTAAGAAGGAAGTAAACAGAATATAGGTATTACAGAACAAATTACTGAAAGGAAGCTGTAAATATAGCTAGAATGAAAATGAAAAGTCAGTTATTCTTACTTAATAACCTATTTCTTTCTTTCTGGTTACATTTTCCCTAAACCTACCAGATTACATTGTCAGCCCTAAATTTCAAGGGCACCGAGTCCCCTTTACCCCAGGTTTAAATTAAATGTCGCCACAGAAAGAGACTACAAAAAAGAGGATCATGATACCTTTCTCGACAGCATCTCGACCAGTCACCCAGGTTATGCCAACACGCAGAATATGGTGGAGGATGCAGGCCTCTGCCCTGTGGATGCCTGAGGGTGGGGGACACCAGCATTTACATCCTAGTGAGAAAAATAGTGCAGTAATACAGTGATGTGTCACAATTCACAATGCCCCTCAAACTCAAATTCCTAAAATTTGAGTTTTAGGCATACCTTCCTGAATTTTCACTCCTTCGTAATATCAAATATATTGAATGAGTTTGTTTTTATTGACATTTGGTATAACAATTATGTCCATGAAAAAATTGAAACATGTTCAATAAATGTCACGTTAAAGTACTGACTACAACTGATTGTGCCCTTGTATTGGATGTTGAACACTCCCAATAGCTAATCACTTAAAGTCTATTAGAAATTTGTTTATGAAAAGTGACATTTTATTATGAACTAGAGGCCCTCTGCTGGCCTGTGCCCTCTCACAATCTGGGACCCCTCGGGCGATGTCGGCTAGCCGGTTTCAGCCTGATCCCCTCAGGCCCGATCCAGACAGGAGGGAGCCCGATCCTGTGTGTTGAGCATCTGTCCCATAGTGGTTGTTGTGCGTCATAGTGACTGGTCGACCAGTCATTCGGTCACTTAGGCTTTTATATAGATGACCTTAATAGAGCAGAAGACATAAATCAGTTTAATATCTAAGAAATTTTCAAATTTAGAACAAGCCATTTATTGTAAAATTTCCACTTCTGTGTTCAACTTGGCCTTGGAGTTTAAAAACATGGCCATGGAGTTCAGTACCTGGTCCCAGAGTTGGGAAACACTAAACTTACTAGAATCTGATTTTAGTTTAATCCAAACTTCACTGCATAATCCATGGATGCAGAAGTGGGGTGGTGAGGGCCTGGGGCCAGGGGCCAGGGTAGACTGGAGGGGGTCCATGGAGGAAAAAAGGAGACGTGTAATACTTTCAGTAATAAAGATTTTTAAAAAAAGAAATGAGAAGCCATTTCAACTGATAACACACAAATACTAAAGATCACAAGAGACCAATATGAACAATTATACATCCAACTATCTCTTAGGAAGATAATGTAAGACCCCCCCCCATACATACACACACACACACACACACACACACACCATTTATAAACTATATTCCAGGTGCTTTGAAGAGTTTCTGTTAGCCCAGGCAAAGCCTGTAATTTTTTTTTTTTTAAATAACACATGCTAAATTTTTAAATGTTTTTTAAATTGATTTTTAGAGAGACAGGAAGGGAAAGGGAGAGAGAAACAGAGACATCATTGATTGGCTGCCTCCTGCACGCCCCTTACTGGGGATCAAGCCCGCAACCCAGGTATGTGCCCTGATGGGGAATTGAACCAATGATCTCTTGGTTCATGGGTGGATGCTCAACCATTGATCCACACCGGCCTACAAAGCCTATAATCATAACCACTCTAACACAGATTTGTTTAGGTTTCTGTTACCCACTATTATCTACAAAATAAAATCCTAAACTGTCACTTAAGGTCCTCTGAAGTTCTTTCCCAATGCTAACATCCTATCCATGTACATAAATCCACTTCGCTACTTGTCAAATCCTTAATCCTCGCCACTCAAATGTTCCCTGGCCATGTGCTCACAATCACTCATTTGTACTCTCCTACGTCACTGAGTTAGAGGTGATTCCATAGACACAAACAGTTGGCCTCGTAAGGGAGTGTCAAACCTCTCTCCCCCACGACCTTGGAAAAGAAAGTATCATAACCAGCGGTTTCCTCCTCCCCAACCAAGCCCAGGGCTGTGCAATCAGGTCAAAGGACTTCAAAATGGTACTTACTGGGCAGGAAGGACTAGCCATCTTTATTATTTCGAGATTGTCAGTATATTCTCATTCCTGAAAGTCATCGGAGAACATTTTTAATACGTTTTTTGTATTAATTAGCTGAAACCAACCTAGACAGAACTTGAACATAGTTTACTCTCTTCTGCCTCGACATAGTAATGCACTCAAACCAATCTACAGTCTAAGATTGCAAGTTTGCTATAAGACCCCACAGAAAATGAATTCTCGCATCTCACATCTTCTAAATATTACAGCTTAAAGTTATTATGTATGGTGTCATAGTGGTCCCTACTGGCATTATTCAAGTCACAAATTCTTAACCAAATTATGCTTTTTCAACTCAGTCTGATGGTTGGAAAAATAAAACAAAAACAAACCCAAAACTCAACAAAGGAATAACTAGTAGTCACATTTCATCCAGAACAGAAGGCTAGCCAAAAAAGCTAGCCCAAGATTCTCTTCATATCTAATAAGAAATAGGCAAATTACAAAACAAAGACAAACCATTTAATAGATTTTTTTTTTTTACAATTTCAGTACAAATGAGCACTTCAAATAAACATTACAGGGTTTTTATTAATTGCCAGTCAGTCAATAAATAATTTTTGTGGCTTTCCTTTCTGATGAAATAAATCACTTTGTTATAAAGAGAATGTTTTAATACATTACTTTGCTTATACACATCAGGAGAATTCTATTAAGTGTCTTGAACTTCAACAACTTTAACACTTTTACAGGAATTGCTTAGACAGATGTCCTAATTCCAGTAATTTACTGGAATAAATTTTAAAAATAGCCAAGAAGTCGGAGATGACATTGTACAAGGGAAGACAGCGATTGGAGTCACAGAGAGTGTGTTGAGTTGTAAAGTGCCTTGCCTAAAACACGGGACCACAGTGAACTGCAACGTCTTACAGAAAAGTAATGAAATAAACGACAAGGTCACAGTAAAAAGCCCTGCGTGGGAGCATCAAAACAAACCCCAAAATACAAACGCCACAGAATGACATCCCCGGATGCAGCTGCTCACTGGAGGTTATTCAACTGCCTGCCCCTAACCTAGGAAACCTACAGCTATGAAGCCTCAATTTAAAAAATAAATAAGGCAATGCTAATTGTCTTCTTAAGAGGAAGTTGGTGTGAGAGCCTCATGCATCAACTCAAAACCCACTCTATGTGCTGTTCACTGAACGTGAACACCTGTGATCAAATAACATTTGTTCAATTCTTCATGTTAAACTACTCGTCCTTTTTCTTGTGGCCTGTGTCCCGAGGCCCACACAGTTCTGTGTGTTACTACTTCCTGTTGGATTCCTAAGTGCTACTTGTGTGACGAGCACCTGTCTCCACTGAGATTCAGTTCCTGTACCACTCACTGGCTACTGGTTTTCTAGAACAAAGAAGTAACTTGAGAATTAGGCCTGTTCCCAGCATTGCAAGCAACTGTTGTGGTACTGACTTTCCCCTGCTTTTCTAATTGATGGTTACATATATCTGCTTTCAAATTCACCTCCTTTTGGTGGGAAAAAAAGGTTATAGAAAAAAAGAGTGATTGCATCAAGAAATCTTTGCTTCTATTTCTAATTGTTCTCTAGTAGCAACTGAATGCTGCAAATCATTGAACCTCTCCAAGCCTGCTGCCCATCCTGCTTGCTTGCTTCCGCTAACATGTTCAAGGATTATGTTATTTATTTGCCCTTGTTAGAGAGGTAAAAATAATATGAAGCACTTACTACAGAAGGTGTCCTAACACCTTGGGCCAGAAACACCATCTTTTTTTGACATGTCAACTCGTGTATTCTGTTTATCTCGATGGGTCAGTAATGCCTTTTTCTTTGCTCAGTTTTCAGATGAAGTGAAATGATGTGGTAGTTTTTTGTCTTGAGTGCCAGATGTAAATGATCTGCAGTGTACCTTGATAGTGGTAATGAGAAATAATTCTGAACACCCAGAGGTCTGATCAGTAAAGAGAGAGTGGTATTCCCTGGGCAAGACCATCCCTGCCACCCCAACCGTTAGCATTGAGTGTAGGCATTCCCCGGTCACCTCAGGGGTAGCCCAGACTCATTGCTGTGTGACCCTATGACATGAAAGGCTCCTCCGTATGGCATGTGACACACTAAGATTTCTGCCAGTGAATTAGCAAAAACATCGTATCTGCTCCAAATGAAACTCTAGGCCTTCCAACATTGTTTTTTCAATGTGGAGCGGTATGGCGATTTCTTTTGAAATGATTTCATAGGCCAGCAGTGGTGTTGGAGACGTATAGGGAAAACGCAGGTAAAAAGTAGACCTAACAGACATCTAGAGAAGCCAGTCCGGAGATGCTGCCTGGGTTTCTTATGCAAAAGGGGCAGGTGTGCGTTCCTTCCTGACGCTGCAGCCACAGACCAGGCTAAAGCAGACAGTCATCACAGCGTTCTCACATGTGTGCGTTTACCAGGTACAGACTAGAAGGGAAGAGACGAATTCACAAGGTTTCCTTTAAAAGGGGCTCGATAGCGTGTAAACACTGGCTTACGCAGCTCACCAGGGCTCAGGGCTGGAGCAGTCTATGGGGCGTGCATGTCGGAGACAGGACACAGGAGTCTTTAGCCGGGTTAAGCTCGGGTGAAGCTGATGGCATATGCTTCAGGGCCCCAAGAGTACAGACACCGTCTCCCACACGGTCAAGGTTAATACAGACACGCACATAAACAAACACCAGGGAATGGGCAGCCCAGTCGTTGGGTTGCCCTCTTTGCTGCTTCTGTCTCTGACTTTTCTAACCTGGTGCGATGCGGGCAGGTACGGCTCTTCATGGTCCCAACTACCTTTCAGTGTGATCCTTACTTTATGCACCCACCCCCCGGGTGATGCACCAAAAAATTACTCTGAATCTGTAAAATACAAACGAAATTAAAAAACACCACAGACACACGTAAATGGAACAACCATTTAAAATTCGACGGGAGGGAACTTAGGCGTTATCCACTAATTCCCTTTTCTAAAACCCACACGCGGACTCTCGCAGGAAGGTCTCCTTCCCAGGCCCCTGAGAGGAAACTCGAAATGCACACGTCCGGAATAAAACATACCTCGGTGGCTGAGCAATAACCTTATTGAATAAGAGACACGATTTTTGTAAACTACACAAGAGGGGGCAGAAGTACGAATGTTGCTTCAGTGCCTTTACATAGATGTCTCTTCTGACGGGGGGTTGAGGCCAACGGGCTTTTCTCTATAAAGCGATACCTGAGGAGGAAGGCAGGCGTTCTGCGAGAGCGCGCTGTCCACGGCTCCCACTCAGGTTTCCGCCAGTGGGTCGAACACCTGCAGCACCGTCCTCTTGTCCGTGTCGCTGATGGCGGCCCAGTGACCCAGGTCTTGGTGCCTGTGCTCCGGGGGCGGCTCCTCCGCGGCCGAGCCACTGACCTGCAGTGGGGCTGTGTGTGCCCTCCTGAGGTTCCTGGTCCCCGCGTCCAGGGGCTCAGAGCTCTTGGACAGCCAGGCGCTGTTCACCAGGTTAGGGTGCTGGAGAAGGCTCCAGAAGGGGTCCTGGCCATCACCCAGGAGGGAGGCCGCCTCTAGTCTGGGCTCCTTGTGGCCATCAGTCTGGGCGCCCCCATCGGGCTGGTGGGCAGGGGGGCCGTCGCTGCGGAGGCCGCTGCGGGCCAGGTCCTGGAGGAGCTGGCTGTGGGTCTGCAGCACCTGCAGGTGGAAGGCGGCGGGGGCCGACTTTTTCCTCCTCGGGGGCACTAGAGGCGGGACCCCCACGAGGGGCGGCGTGGCCCCAGCAGGGGCGTCGTCTGGCTCGGGCTTCCTCTCGGCGCCTCTCCCGGGCAGAAGGGTTCTTGGTTTGGGAACAGGAGGGACTGTCACAAGAGGAGGGGTTTCGAGGCTCGTCTCCGGGGACCCGATTGTGAAATGGACAGTCTGTTGCCCGAATTGTTCTTCCGGCGATGTGGGCTGGGGAGAGGCAGGATAAGAGAGTGAGTGAGAAGCCAGCGTGGGGCTCGGGCGTCCGCGCTCAGCGTCAGCCAGGAGCCGCGGGGGACATTCTAGCAAATGCAAGAGCTGAGAATGTCTGGGATGCGGCCATGTGACGGGGGTGGAAGAACACGGCAGAAACACACACATTGACCAGGAGAACCGCGGGGCCAATGGAAGATGAGTGGGAACTTGAAAACCAGGGCCACAGGAGTCACCGAGACAGGCCCCCTTTGCTCCCTGAGGAGAAGGGGTGTCCCCTCTGCTTACTGACAGCAAACCCCGCTGCAGCTCTCAATCGAGGCCGCGGCATTGCTAATTCACACACAGATAAGCAAACGCGGAGTCACCTACGTCCCGGCGTCGGGCTAACCGAAGGACGCACGGTACGCTGGCTCCTGGAATCTTGGTGTTTAAATATGGAAGAACGGAAACATTTACACGGACACTTCGCTTCCTTGGTTCCAGTTCAAAACCACCCCAAGGACAACAGCCGCGCGGGGCGGAAGGAAGCTCTGTACCCGCGTGGCCGCCGGCACTCGGGCATCGGCCTTCAGTGTTTCCTTCGCTCCTTTAGGAAACACGCGGCCGGCACAGCCCCTCCCGCAGCCCCCGCCGCCGCTCCTGTGCAGCGGGCTGGGAAAATGAACTCATTTCTGCTCCTGGCTTTTAAGACAAAAGACATAGCAAGGACGGGGGGGGGAGGGGGGGGGGAGGAAAATGACAGATGCCACAAGCCAAAGCGGGCAGAGGAGACAGCGAGCTGGGTATGCACGAGGCGCCCAGGCCCCGGCTCACACGTCCACAGGGGAAGCAGAGGTCATCTGTCAAGACCGGCAAGGGGTTACCGAGTGTCCGGCACCAGAACACTGAGGTCAAACGGAAGGTCCAGATGCCTCGAGAGGTGCCAGTCTTTGGGCTGCTACTGTCCTGACAAACTCATGTCTCTGAAGCAGCAAGCAAGGCGGGGAGGCTTGGGAGCCAGAGCAGAACACAATCTGCAAGAAAAGTGGCGAGAAGAGCGGTGGGACGGCCCGCGTCCCAGGCCGGCACGGCCAGGACCCCGTCATTGTTCTTCTAACGCAAACAAGACCTGTCCACGCGAACCCTGCACGCACGACACAGACCACACACAGACGGGAGTTCCGGGAACACGTGGAATCGGGCCTCCCCCCGTGGTTCGCTGTGGGGCCAAGCCTCCAAGCCGTTCCTGGCGTGGCGAGAAGTCCCTGGCTTTTCCGCGCAGCCAGAGCCAGGGATACGGAGGAGAAAGCAATTGCCAAGCATCTTCCTCCAGGATGGGGCCGTCCAGGGACTCAAGTGTTTATGGAGAGACAGACTCAGCAGAGATGGGACCTTGTCTCACCAGACGTTCGAGCAACTGAGGGGTGAGAGGCGGCTGCTGCCAGCTCTTACCTTCCCGGTCCTCCTGAAGGTCGGCTTCTTCATGGCAGGGACCCTGGGCGCGGGCCGGCGGGGCAGGAGCGGGGCTGCCCCCATCGCGGGCTCTGGCTTGGAGGACTCCTGGTCCCTCGGGGCCGTGGCGTTTAGGACCTCCCCTGGGGGGCCTGAAACACACAAGTGCATGGCTGAAGCGCCCGGGACCAGGCAGTTCGCTGCGCCATGAAATCTTTAGATAAACTACGTTCTGAGGGTAATTTATTGATGCAGTATATTTCATTTTTTTTTTCTAAAAAAGATGCTTGAGGGTTGTCAGGACCAACGAGCTAGCTTTGGCCCCAGCTTCTCGTGCTCACCTCCCAAGCAGGGATGGTGAGCTGGGTCTGTAGTGGTCTCGATGGGGGATCAGTGACGCCCTGACATCACATGCAGAGATGCGTGCGCGCTTCTCATGGGAGATGATCTAAAGCTCCTTAAAACCTCGGCAGGGCCCGTGATCAAGAAAATGTTAAGTTCAAACTCCAGGTAGGTTTCAAAGTTCAAACCTCTCCTGCCTCCACATCCATACCCTTAACAAAAAAAATAAAAAAATAAAAAGGCAATATGGCCTGGCCGGAATGGCTCAGTTGGTTGAGCGTCATCTTGTGCACCGAAAGGTTGCTGGTTCGATTCCCAGTCAGGGCACATACCTGGGTTGTGGGTTCGATCCCTGGTCAGGGCATGTACAAAAGGCAACCAATTAATGTTTCTCACATCAATATTTCTCTCTCTCCCCCTTCCTCTTTCTAAACATGTCCTCGGGTGAGGATTAAAATATATCTATATCTATAAAAGCCTAAGCGACTGCCTGACCATTCGACTGGTAGCTATTACATGCACTGACCACCAGGGGGCAGGCGCTCAATGCAGGAGCTGTGGAGTGACAGCAACTTTGCAGAGTGCCCTCTCACACTCCAGGACCCCTAGGGGGATATCTGACTGCCAGTTTTGGCCCGATCCCTGCAGGCCAGGCCGAGGGACCCCACCTGCTAGAGGGACCCAGCTCACTCTGCAGGTGCCCTTCGAGCCCTGGCACCGCCCCAGGTGTGGCAGGCTGGGGAGGGACCATGGAAGGTTGGCTCCAGGGCATGCCTGGCCCATCTTGCCCAGTCCTGCCCCGCCGGACACCTTCTAACTAATTTACTTTCAATGTGCACGAATCTGTGCACTGGGCCTCTAGTAGTAATATAACTCACACACCATAAAATATACCCTTTTAAAGAACAGTTCAGCAACCATCACTGTCTAATCCAGAACATCTTCATCACCGCCCTCCAAAAACCCCACACATACCCATAGCATTCATTCCTCATTTCCTCCCCTCTTAGCCCTAGAAACACTAGAACGTTCTGTCTCTAGATTTGTCTGTTCTGCATGCAGTGTGTGTGTGTGTATGTGTGTGTGTATACATAGCATACTATCTTCAAGATTCACCCATGATGTAGCATGTATTAGTACTCCATCCTATTTTTATGGATAATATTCCATGGTATGTTTACACCATGTTTTATTCATTGGTGGACCCTTGAGTTGTTACATACAATTATAGTTATATTTAAAAATAAATAACAGCCTTGACCAGGTAGCTCAGTTGGTTAGGTGTCATCCCGATACAGGGTTCAATCCCAGGTCAGGGCACATGTAAGAATCAACCAATGAACACATAAGTAAATGGAAAAATAAATTGATGTTTCTCTCTCTCTGTCCCCCTTCCTCTTTCTCTTTAAAATCAATTAAAAAATTAAAAAATATAAATTGATGTTTAATAAATATTTATTTGAAAATAAATTTAAATTAAAAAGAGACCACTTGAGATGATGTTATCCTACAACAGTGTTTCTCATCCTCATACTTTCTTTCCTCTTTCAATGTTATTTGAAAATTCCAAATAAGTTAGATATCCAGACTGAAAACAAATCAACAACAGTCAGTTGTATTGCATGTGGCTTTTCAGAGGGCATGCTCTCTCCCCTTCCAAAATCCAAACAAGTTAGTGACCAGTGATGTGAATGCAGGGGGGAGATTCTAAGGTAAAACATGACTAACGGGGGTTAAGTGAAGTGACAGCAATTACGTGAACAGGCAGTTAAATTAATTGTGGGCTCTTTGACATCAAGAACTTACAGTTGCTGGTGATTTAAAAAGTGGGTTTTGTGTCCGGAACAGGGATGTGTACCTTACTCCCCCTTCTTCAAGCAGGATGGGTTAGTGCCTGGAGCACTATCCTTTTCCAACATTCATTTTTGTTTAGGTCAATCTCTCCCTTAAGTACTTCTTAACAACCCTGGGATTCTTTGTATATACTTACTGAATTTTAAATATATAACTTTAAATGGACAGTACATCTCAGTAGTGGAATTCTACAAAATGTTGCTAATGGGAGCTTTCGTTTAATACTGCCTTTAGGAAAGAATTATTTTCTCTTCTCGGCCCCGTTTAGCAGGAAGATGAAAAGGAGAACAGGAGCTCCCCGGCGGGAGGAGGCCCCGGGAGCACCTACCGCCTCTGGCCTCCAGGAGACACCGGATGGCGGCCTCCGCCTCCCGGGCGTTGGTGGTTTTGATCTGCTTGACGTTGTAAGGCTTGCTGATCCCCGTCCTGGCCTTGGGCTTGAGGGCAGATGAGGAAGAGAAGCGTTACTAACACAGGCAGGAAGCAGCCGCACCGGCCAGCTCCCCGCCCACTGATCTGCACCTGGGCCGCCAGCCGGCGATGAACACACAGTCCTGTCTGACCGCGTCCTCAAGCCCCTTCCCCGGAGCCGTGCTACCAAGAGGAGGAATGCGACAGTGTTTGAGTGGGGACCCTCACCGGTTTTTGCAATGTGGACAAGCCATCCTCTAACCTTTCGATAACCAGGAAAGAGCCAGAAGCCTATCAGAAGGCATTTTACGGCCCAGCTGAGTTATTAAAACACCTTCCAGATCTGTTTACTTCAAAGCGCCTCTTCTACCTCTTCACCCGTTTAAACCGCAGGGTCCCCTTTGCTGACCTGCCTTCATGCCTGTGAACCCCCTGCTGGGACCCCATGGGCATCGGGCCCCGCCCTCTGTCCCTGTCCTGGGACCCAGTAGCTTCCACCCAGCACCCAGGCCTCCTCCCTCCTTCCTGGCCTCGACTCCGCCGACCTCCACCTACCGTCTCCAGCAGCCCCGAGCCTCCTCTGGAGCGCCACCTCTCCACCCTCCAGAACTGCTCCTATTCCTAGTGCCCCACCTGTGTTATTTAGGCCATTGGATCTGGTTTAGCCTCTTCTCTCTGCTACCTTCACCCCAGAGTCATCATAATTTTGTCCAGCAATGGATCGGAATTTCTCCTACTTTCCCTTCCACCACGCACTGCTCTGCACACCACGGTCAGAGCCAGGCGTCGGGAGACAGAGAAGCAGGTGAGTCTGGAGGCCAACAATCCCACCACACGGGACACTTGGATTTTTCATCAACGTGATTTCTCTCCCATGCCCTGCACGACCATTTAAAAGCCCATAAAAAACATGCCACTAAGTTATGGGGTTTTGGGGTGAGTCAGTGGGCAGTTAGAGGGTTAGAGAGGTAGAAATCGATGTATGTGCTGAACAGGAGTGACCCCGGGTGAGATGAGGGGCCGAGGACGAACCACAGGCCAACCCCTGGGATCTGACACGTCTCCGTTTCCCTGCGAGCCGCACGCAGAGCGACTCACCGCCTGCTGAGGCGCGCCCGGCAGCAGCTTTGCCGTCGGCAAGATCGAGTACTGCCCGTGGGTGCCGGAGATGGACACGTCCGAGGCCGACTTCTTCACCATTAGACCTGCTGTGAAAACCAACAAGGCAGAGTCTTAACCTCAGTGACGGCACCGATGCTTCCCGGCCAAACCGCGGCGGCGGATAGCGAGGCAGCAGCGCAGGGCAGTGAGGGGCTGCGTGCTTGGCTGTGGGCATCAGAGGCCGCGAGCGCCCTGAATCCCCCTCTAACAGCTCCTGCTGTGAACACAGATTCTCTGGAAAAGCATTATTCCATGTCACTGTTAACGTAAATGTGAACCTAAAATCCTGGGTGACTCGCATGTGGTGTAGAGGTCAGTTCGCTTTAGGCGGTTTAGAATACGCTATTGTGACGAGGACCAAATTTTTAAAATGTGTTGTGGGCAAAAATCGAAAAAAATCCCAAAGCAGGGGATGCTCTATGCTGAATTACACGTGCAGCCATTAACAGGACACGTTCTAGAACAACACGCAACAACACAGACATTAGGTGAAGGGCAAATGACCAAACAAAAAAGTTACCAACTTTGTAAAAAACATGGAAATAAGAAGTTGCCTGAGGATGTCGATATGCATAATTGGAGGAAGGCTGGAAGTCTTGTGATTCACAGCTTTTATCTCTAGGTAGTCAAGTGAAATTAAGAATTTACTTCTTTTTTATATTGACCTATTTTTATACGTTTTCCACAGAAATATATAGCATTTAACGTTCTTATTTATACTTTATTTTCTGAGTATCAACTAGCTTGCCATTGATTATTATTGCAGCATAAGCCAAGTTGAACCCGATTCTGAAAGTAAAATCTTAGCAAAATCTAGGTCTAATGGCCATAGTTTGGGGGGCACAGGGGGGGCAGTAAACAGCAAAGGGAACCAGCAACTGATGAGAAAGCAGCATAAGCCAAGTTGAACCCGATTCTGAAAGTAAAGTCTTAGCAAAATCTAGGTCTAATGGCCACAATCTGGGGGGCACAGGGGGCAGTAAACTGCAAAGGGAACTAGCAACTGATGAGAAGCACGTCCCAACTGTATCAGGTACTGATGACAGGCTGGTGGGAAAAGCACTGTGTTCTGAGGGGCCAGGAGGACCCTCTCCTGGGGGCCTGGGCTGGGAGGAGCGTGTCTGCAGGTCCGAGGCAGTGCGGGGAGCCAGCACTCAAGGGGAGAAGATTCTGGAAGATGCTGCGGGGCTGGGGGGAGAAGCTAAAAAGCGCCCTCTCTTGGCTGAGGCCCCGGTTACCCATTCTCCGAGGAAGCAGCTAGAAGCAGCCGGAAGCAGAGCGCAGCCACAGGAGGACCAGGACGGCCTCACAAAGGATCGCCGACTGCACCTCCCATTTCAAATGTCATGGATTTAAGACAAGAGGCCCAAGGCGGGTAGAAGGCAGAGGGCAGAGGGCAGAGCGCACGTGGGCCCGGAGGCCGGGGAGGTGATGCAGAGCCGCTGGTGCAGGAGCAGGAGGTGCAGGAGGTGCGCAGCCATTCCCAGAGGCGGGAGCCCAGGCAGCGGGTCTTACTTGGAGGGGGCGGCCTCTGCGGCGGGTGAGGCGGCCGCGGCCTGTTGGGAACCGACAGAGACCTACTTGGCGAGCGGAGGCGGTCCCCCACGGCTTCCAGCTCCTGCTTTAACTCCACCAGGGCGGCGTCATCTGGAGGACACGGCGGAACGGAACGGGAGGGAGGTGAGTCAGGTGGGGCTCAGGTGTGCGGAGCCACCTGGGGCAGGAGGGCCCCCCGGGGGAGCCGAAGTGTCCCCCTGGCTGCCGGCCCGAGAGGGCAGGACCCAGTGCCTGCTGGGAGCACTCAGGGAACCTCAACAAGACTTGCCCAGACGGAAGAGACACCGAAAATGTGAGAGTACAGAGAGGAGTTTCCTCCTGAAACCACCCCCAGACGTCCGCACCGAGTAGAGGCGGCAGCCGGAAACCAGAGCCCTCCTTCTAAAGCCCTGGCTCTACACACAAGGCAACTGTCTGGGACGCTGAGAACCATCGCACGTCTCTGCCAGCAGGGCAGCCTCCAGCCACAGCCCTCGTGTGGGTGTCCCGGGCACTCAGGTCCCAAACACTCAGCCCCCCTGACGCACCCAGCCAAAGCCTTCCGGGCTCAGAGCAGCACGAGGAAGTGCTGCTTGTGTTTCATTACACGCATGTATCACATGTAAACGCAGAACAAGTTCAGGTCTTCTCTCACACGACAACACAGCCTGGTCCATTCATTTTGGCTCCAACACCCCATCCCTCAAATCCATCTGGACACCCACCAGGTGGCTGGGCAGCCCACATAGCCCCTGTTGCTCTAGTCTTTATTCAAAGAGGCACCTGGCCCTGGCCGGTTCGGCTCAATGGACTGAAGGGTCCCAGGTTCGATTCCAGGTCAGGGCACATGCCCCAGTTGTGGGCTCGATCCCTAGGGGGAGGTGAGCAGAAGGCAGACGATCAATGATTCTCTCTCATCATTGATGTTTCTATCTCTCTCTCCCTCTCCCTTCCTCGCTGAAATCAATAAAAATGTATTTCAAAAAAACTATTCAAGAGTCAACTATACTATATAATCTAGGGACGTACAGTTCAATCCACATTTCCTCTCTGAAATCAATAAAAATATATTTCAAAAAACTATTCAAGAATCAACTATATTATATAATCGAGGGACGTGCAGTTCAATCCACACGCCTTTCAGTCAATGGTGATATAATGATGCTAATGTTGGTATCATTAATTATATATATGTATATGTATAATTATATAATGTATAAAATTGTTACTATATAACAATATAATGTTATAAGAAAATAAGACCAGCAACTTAGCACACAGATATTGAACATGCCTCTTCCAGGACTGAATCAGAAAAGTTTGGGAGAGAAAAATCAAATCAAATGTAAAATCAGTTCAGAGCTGTGGCCATTTGCATACACAGGAGAAATGGGAATTATCATGAATCTGGGATATTAAAGGGGCACCAAAAATTGTAAAACACAAATCACCGGAGAAAACCAGCGTGGCGGTAGCTGCCGCCTTCCCAGAGCCCCATGCCCGCCGCTTGCGGTGACGGCGTGGTTTCGCCCTCATGGGGCGGCGCACTGCCTGTGGCATCATGCAGAGAGGCTGAGAAGAGAGCGATCTCGTGCCCAAGGCTGTTAGAAAGGGAAGGCCCGGCTACCTCTGTAGGTCGGATGTTGCTTCTTTTTGGGGAGCGCAGGTGACTTGCTGGGCGGTGCCGCCATGGAGCTGGGGGCATCGGCAAGGTCGTCCCCGCCCAGCTCACTGTCTGAGACCACAGGCTGACTCAGTTCATCCAAATAGTCTTCGTCCTCTTCGAGAATATCCCCTTGGGAACAAGGGAGCCACAGACGATTAGGGTGGAAGGCCATCACTTTCAGGGGGGGCCTGTCTCGACCCCGTGGTGTCAGGACCCCTCGGCCCACCTGCTGGTAGACCACGGGAGCCCACGTGACCCCAGGGACGGGCCCCGAATTCCATTCATGCCTGGGACAGGGACCAAAGCGAAGCCCCGACATCCTCAAAACCACTGCTTTCAAGTAGGTTTCGACGTCTCCAGTCCTAGTTGCCGTTTCACACATCATCCTGCACACGAACGCTGCCCACCCCATCGCCGGGCAAACGGCACCGCAGCCCCTGTGTCCGTCCCCAGGCCGCGCGGAAGGGCCC